TACATCGCATATTAATATCATTAAATGAACATCTTTAAGTGCACGCTCACGCTACATGACTCTATTAATAAAAGCAAAATTGTACTGTACGAGACACGCATTAGATTTATGTCGACAACATACAAAATTGTTGCTTGGAAATTATCTGGTTTTCTTCCGTTGTTTCGGCGTGCACACAATTGCGTGTTGACAACACAGTATAGATATATGCGCATAAGGCATATATGCTCAATGTTATTGATGATGATGGGGCAATTTCGGTGTGTGCGTTCTGTATGCATTTGTGCATTGGCTAAATTACTTCATTTGACCGAAGACAAAATACGATACAAAAAGTAAGTAAGAGTGTAAATTTAAGCGGGAAAAAAACAACAAAGGAAGAAAAAGAGACACCGGAGTGCGATAAAACAAGCGTATTTAAGTTAAATTAATGTTTGGAAAGCACTTTGGCATGATTATCATCACATTGGATTTCAATGTTTTTGACCGTTTTAGCAAAGTGAGCAGAAAGTGTGTGTGTATGTTTGTGTGTCCCTCAAGCGCACTCCAAATTCACAAAACAATTTCCACATTTTTGCATTAGACAACAGCAATGAGCGAATAAGAGAGAGAGAGAGTTAAATTTACCAAACTGACAATTTCTATAGCCTCGAGAATGTTGTATTGAATGGTGTTTGCGTAGTAATGTCGTTTCCGTTCCTTGTTAAAATGTGATCCATTGAAATTGGTATCTCTCGCGCTTACACATATTCAATGAATGTATGTGTATATTCGCGCGGCTCAATTGATTTCAATTATATTTATAATCTTCGATTTATGCGTGGAGAATGTCAAAGCGAACGATGAAGAAAAAAAATTACAAAAATTGGACCGAAAACCATTTAACCGAACATAGAACGTATAATCCAATAATATTGAATGTCATTCGTTATTTTTTTCTTCGCAGAAATGTTTGTTCGTTTTTGAGTGAGAGATAGAGCGAACAAAATCGTGGTATTCGATCATTTTTTTCCTGTTGTTGTTGATCTTTTTCAACTGAATTTTCAGTTCATTTAGGACATATTGTTCCATGACGAGCATTGCAAATTATGAATTAATGAAACGATATACAACGTGTTTTCCCCCTTCCGACTACAATCAGTCCATTTCTTCCATATACACAATATTCGGATGTGTGTCTGTCTGTTTATTGATAACAACAACAACAAAAAAAGCCACAGCTTTAAATTGTGAGCATTGATCTCATTTGCCGTAACGCGCCCTCGTTGGCGTGTTCATTCTCTCCTGTTCGGCCCGAGGTGTCAACTCAAAAATGTACACACTCGATTTTTCTACATATAATTTGATTCGGTTTATGGATTAAGAAGAAAGGAAAAGACGCAAAAATAAAATGCAGTCTCAGCATATTATAGATGTAGATACGGTTGTACATTTTGGTCTCGTGCATTGTTCGTATTTGAACAAAGTATGCCTAATACATGTCTGTGTCGCGATTTGGCATGTACAAGACGAATGAAATTTATAAAAAAAAAACAATTCTACACACACAACACACTCTTTCCATCTCTCGTTTGTAACGTCTACTGCAGCAGCAGAAATGGCGACGACGGCGTCAATGGCGGCAGCGAAGGTGTTTCGTTTTTCGCGTTCAAAATAGGTTCGCCAGAAATCATTATTATATAATAATTATAAATTGTAAATGTGTACACAATTTCCACTGTGTTTCAGCACTTGTGTTTAAATCTCGCTCGTTCGCGCGCGCACACACGGGCTCCAAATACAACGAAATCTATTTTGTCTGTGGCTGCTGCTTTTTTGCTCACTTAAAATGTATCAACCACATTATGATGTGTTACTGTTGTTTTTTTCTTCTTCTACCGTTTGTTTTCTGACGTTGTTTTTTTTCTGCAGCTCGGTTTCATCTCTCTTGCTCTTTTTCTCTTTCTTTCTCTCCGTTCCAAAAACCAGTACGTTGTACAAAATTGTACTCCAACACATACTTTTCATTATGCATTTGCCGCAATGTTCAGGTTACAATTTAATGAGCGTGTACGCATTTGCAAACACACCATTAAGATAGAGAGTCGAAACACAAATGTGCGCGCGCAGCGATAGACAGAGAGAGTAGATGTTTTTGTGGCCGCGATTCATGTTTTGTACCTTACGGATATACAAATGTATTGTGTGCATACAATTCGTGAAGAAAATTTATTACGCTTATGGCATTTTTAAATGCACAATTTCGATTTGCTACATAGAAAATGTACGGTAAAAAATGACTCTTGTAGCGAGAGCGAGAATGCATGTGTATGAGCGTGTGTGCGCGAGCGCGCGCACGCTGCACCAACTGGCTTTTTTTCAGCTCGTTCAATCCAGACAGAGGCCGAGGCTGTATGCGACTCAAAACAACCATATATTCCATCCAAAATGGATAAAAATAGTAAAGTGCATTTTGTTGTGTGTTGAATGCAGGCGCGCACCAAGATCAGGCCATGCACACGAACAAGACAGGCGGAATGAGAAAGAGAGTATGCAATATTGTTTGAATGTCTCGCTTGTGCATTGGTTACGTTGTTAAAAAAAAATGATCGAGCGTACACGGGATAGACAATCAGGCGAACATTTATAGGATTACATATAGACAAAACACATATTTCTCATTGCAACAAAGATAAAACAAATTCGGAATGCCACACACAAAAATTCATTGCGCGTGGATCATATTCACCGCGTACTTTTTTCTCTCTTTTTTTATTGTGTGTATGTGGTATGTGTGTGTGTTTTTTTATTCATGTTTCTCGAGTAAAGCTGTGTAAACATTATTCTCTTTCTCTCATAGACCATATAAATGGCTTCTTATATTCATTTTGTGTGCATGCTGCTGATACCTCGACTGACTAAAATATCGATTGACTTTGTCGATTCGAATGCGAATTTCGTGCATTGTTTGATTATTCTTTTTTTTTCCTTCTTTCGCAGTCGTCGAGAAAGCAAGATTGCAATTTATTATTTGATTTGTATTGTTTAAATGGAAGAGAACAGTGGACAGAGAGTCCATGAAAAGAATATCTCATCTCTCTTCGGGAGACCACCGCGGAAAAAAAATCACACATTCTTTTTCTTTATTTCAATTCTCGGGATTTATTGCATCATTTGATTTATGCTATCGTCTCTCGAAAAAAACATATAAAAAAAACGTGTGATCGCAGCAAAACTTAAAATAACTTCAAGAATTTCTATCATTATTGTGTAATTCAATTACAATCATTACGCCAAAATAATTCTCCGACACTTTTTCTATCGACATTTATTTTTCCATTCAATTTCCTGGATAAAAGCATACGAAAAATACGGCAAGAGACATTATTTTGTGAAGACACACACATATCTAATGAGAAAAAAAATGTAGTGGGGAAATGATCGTGAAAAAAAACACATAAAGAACACAACACAATGAAGAAAAAGCAATCGACGTAACCAATGATTCTCACCGCTGGAATTCACTCTAGAATGGCAATATTTCGAAAATGCGATCGCTTTTCGCTGGAAGGTATGCGGCGTCGCTGTTGACCATTACTGACGCCATCATAACCAACATGGAACCGAGTCACCATAGCGAACGAGTTTATTCGAGAGCGAAAAGATGAGAGATTTCATTAGATTGTATAGCCAATGTGTGGGCACTAAAATAGTTAGAAAATGTTCATTAATTGCATCTAGAATTTCGAAAAGCGGCACTCAAATACATGTGGCCAATGTGAAAGAGATGTATGCAATTTTAATGTCGCATCCTAAATTACAATTCAAGGGACAAACATTGAGCTGGAAAATTGGCACATAAAATTTGTGTTCTATTTAAATTTTACCTTGTTGTAGCATTTTGTTATTAAAATATTCATGTAAATTGAGCGAGTGAATGAGATAGAAAGAGATAATAAAGTGTTTGAAAAACATAAAACGGTGCTAACATAAAGTGGTTTTTGCTCAAGGCCCATAGAGTAGGTGAATAAAACAATGCAAAAAACCCGCTCGGGTGACTTCATATACACATGTGGTTGCCTACACTCCGTACACTGGACAATGGGTGTTTGTGTGTATGCATAGGCGATTTGATTCTAAAATATGCCCACTGTGAAAGCCACACATTGAAACGCATTTCAGATAGAGCATAAATATTATCTTAAGCACTTTCAACCATAGTATCAGAGATAAATTCGATTCCATTCTTTTTGGTTTCTTCATTCAATGCATTTCAATAGATCACGTTTTTATATCGAGTGATACCTTTTTTTATATACTTTTTTCTCTCACATGAGACTGTACACATATTTTCTCGGCTTAATCTATCGTTCTGTTACACCTTTTTTTGTTACACTTATTTCTGACATTTTTCTCTGAATTCGTTGAATCGTTTTTTTTTCTTCTCTCTGCTGTCATTGTTTGTTCATGTGCCATTTTTATTACTAAAAACTAGATTCTAATAATTCGACTTTTGTTTTCGTCGTCAAACTGATAAATTGTCTTGTTGCACAGATGCAGTGTAGCTGTTTTGCAGTTTCCTCACATTTTATGGGATTTAATTTAACTGGATTTGCCGGTACAATAAACATATTCCACAAATTCATATGAACAATTTGATCACAAATTTTGGTCTATCGCTTTCTATATTCATTGAACGATCAGTTATCCGTCGCTTTAATATGGACAGCATACGTTTCAAAAGAGTCATTTTTGTAACAAAAAACATTCCCAATTTTTTGCTATTTTCCCTCTTCCTCTCCGCATATCGATACCGTACACCTTTCATTACGAGACCTTTAATTACAAATCACAACGAAAGAAAAGTATATGTGTGTGCTGCTGTGTGCCCACGTTATCGTTACTAATAGGTACATTACACAAGGATTGCATCAGTGAAGATCACGCTCAATTGTGAGGTGAACGTGTTGCTGATGCTGCTGTTGTTTTTTTTAATGTATTTTCATTAGACTAAAACATACCTTTCACATGATGCGCATATGTACATTGGATTTTCATAGACGAAATTAATGCATTTCCATCGAAAAGTCTGCAATAAAAGAAGCAATACAGAAAATTGTCGATGGTTAAATTAATATTTTAGTATTCATTATTAAAAACGCAAGTGCTTTAAACCGAATTATAGATAAAATGCGAATGAATGAATGAATGAATGAGCATCTTTTATTGTAGAGTGCCACGTATATGTGGTGTTTAGTTCATCATCATAATTTCACCATTTTGGCTTAATAATGTCCGATTACAAAACGCCCCAGCAGACCAAAATACATACACGCATTTGCATTTAGTTGCATGGTATTTTATGGCTCATTTTTGCATATTCATGAGAAATTGTTTAAAATCACAAATACACAGACACACACACACACACAAATGAATTCAAAGAATCATCTGAATATTGAAAAAGTGAAAAAAGCACACATTTCCACGAGAATAAGTGAATTGGATCCAGAGACTCGAATTATATTCCATATGGTATAGATGTTTGTTTGCGAATTCATTTCTTAACAAAATAATGAAGAAGAAAAAACAACAACAACACGAACGATAGATAAGAGACGATAAACAGAAATGGCAAATAAACGGAATAAAGGAAAACAAGAACAGAAAATCCATAAACCAAAATGATAGTTCTCCAAGAGGTAAACGAGAGATGCACCATAGAGAGTCAGAGAGAGAGAGAGAGAATGCAATGAAGGAAAACAAGAACATGTTTATGCAAGTGCGTACTTGCTAGAGAGAACATCTGAAAAGGAATTCTGCTGTGCAAAAACAGCACATGGTACAAAATTTATTCTGCTTTGTTGTTTCTTCAGATTACCGTTGTCATAAATGTATATTCGTAATAATAGCAACAATAGTTCTCTCGTTCTCTATTGCGATAATGGTACTCGCTTTATTTATTTGTTTGCATTTTTTGTGTTCCCTTTCTCTGTTGTTGTCATTTTGCATACCGAAATGAATTTCGCATCTTCATTCAATATGAACGAAATAAATGAAAGATTCGTTCCGAAAGAATGTTGTTTGGGAAATTCAAAACTACAACATGCTGTGAACATGGGGACATTTCCCCCGATAAGATATACTAAGAAATTTTATCGATAATAATTTTTTTTGGCCGAAAAAAAGTGCATTGCATATGTTTTTGTAGCTTCTGTTCAATGTAGTTTCTTTGTTTCATTGTGATTGCAAAGATTATAAGAGATTGAAGAAAAATTATTTGCAACAGATCTACAAATAGGCAATATTGTATGCTTCCGAATGACGACGATCATCGAAGCATCCGCATAATTAATTGGCTTGCTGATTTGACCTGTTTTTATATATTAAAAATGTTACTATGTGCGCGCATCATCATTCTCGTGCTTATATTGAGAGTATCTCTATGTAATGTATCGTACAATATTTTGTGTGTCGCATGTCTGTATACGATTTAGCTTCAGATAGAAAATCACCATGTTCGGCTTGATTAGACAATGAACGACAGTTGAACACAAAAAAAAGCACACAACAACATTGGCACAACAACATTGTAGAAACAAAGACACTAAATACACTTCAGCTTCACTGGTCGTTGACACTCTATTCCAATGGGACTGACCTACACTACAAACGGCCAAAGACAATGCAATATACACAGCTGAAATGGAATATATTGGTTGATTACCATAAGCGAACATATATCGATCGATTTGAACTAGGACTGGGCGTCAATGGCTTTTTTGCACATTTATGTGTACATAATGTAAATGATGTTGTAAGTCCAATTTTAGCCGATGCACAATAATGTTCAACAACATATAGACACACACATACTCAACTCACTCACCGAGAATAATAATAAAAAAATATAGCGAGTCGTGAATGAGAAAATATGAAGAGAGAATCAGATGGGATACCCACTTTTAAATAGATATTATTATTATTATTATCATTAATGTCGTATCACGCATGTGCAATATTACAATAATTCATGATGATTATGTTCTTATTATTGCTAATAATTTTTGATCTTTTTTTTTGCACTTTACGGCTGCTACCGTTGTTATCGGTGCGTGTGCTTTGCTCTCGTCAATTCATACGGTTTATTGAGTGGAAATGAAGAGAACGAGAGAAATAAAAAAAAATAGTAAAACACGAACACACTTGATTAGAGCGAAGCCCAATGACGGAAATGTTCTGAATTACGAAAAATGTGAATGAGACCGATTGTTTATCCGGATCTCTCACAAAACGATTGGGTGAAACGATGGAATATGTGTACTGTTCTCGACCGAGTCATAATTATGGTTTCCGGATTTCATTTTGTCCAGTTACACTTTGGATTCTAGCGGTTTTACGCTTGTTCCGCTCACTGTGCTCCATTTCGGCGTGTGTGTGTCTGTGTGTTAATTTGTTGCACCGAATGAAATCAAGATTATCCTGGCGATGTGCACACGAGAAAAGGAGATAGCGACACACAGACAAAAAGAAACAGAAAACATGTTCAATTCAATTTTCATTCCGCAATGTGTAATTTAATACGCGGCATACTGCATATTTGGTTTGCAATAGTGTATTTTACGCAATATGAAACAGTAACAACAACAAAAAAAACGAAGCAGAAAATTTGCAAAAAAAAACATATCTCGGCGTTCATCATTTCGGTTAGATCATGAAATGAATAGCATGGTTTAAACCACATAGCCCACCCATTATTTTGTGCAATCAGTGTAATCAACTCTTTGATTTCTCTCTCTCTTGCTCATTCTGCGCTCTCTCACTCGAAAGATGATATTTCAGCCTGTAAATTCACTGTTTCAAACCAATGGATGCGTCTAAACATTCTTTTTTCGTCTTTTTTTTTTGATAGAAAAAACACACACAACTCTTTAAAAGACTATGCATTTTTACTTTAAGATTTCATCGGGATCTCTTGTGTGGATCAAGCAAATGCGATTTTCTCTGACCAATGTGTATATATCTTCGTTCTCGAAATAATTTCTACAAAGGAAAGTTTATGTTTGCGGTTGTGTGCAGTTTTGATTTAATGTTGCTTCGAATCGGTCAGCAATGTAGCAATAGCAGTAGCATCATCAGCAGCACAAGCAAATATACAAACGGCGAACAAACACACACAAAAAAATATTAATGTTGAAAGAAGAGAAGTAGAAATGATGATGATGACGATGAAGAATGCCACGACATGCATTGTATATGTCTCCATGCTATTAAAACCACCGACAACATTTCTAAGGAAAAAGATCAGTGAAAATTCTTTTAATGATGCCCAGAACGGTGCTAAATACAAACGACCAACGAACGAACGAATGGCGAATACAAAATCAAGGAATTTTTTTAAATGGCATCGAGAGAGCGCACACATATACACAAGCGATACATCGAGCACACAAGATTTTTGCAATACGGACGAAAGAACGGAACAAAAAAAAATATATATAAACTATCTACACGATACGTATATACGTCTGTTCTTTATTATGTTCAATAGAGAAAAATAGATGAGCAGAAAACAGGTTTAGTGGCATGAAGAAGAATGGGCTTGAGCATAGCACTTAATAAGCATCGGCAGCAGAATTTCTCTCTCACTCGACTGTGATATGGTGAAGTGCAAAAACCATTGAAAGCGTACAGAGAGCGTGCAGAGTTAAAAAAAAAGAAGAACACAAGCGATTCTAGAACAACAACATCTCACATTGAGAACAATTTGTGCTGTATTACAAAAGATTGGCAAAAGGCGACAAGCAAGTATAAAATAAGACGAGAGAGAGAAAAACAAAACTGAAGCATACTATACATACAACGGAAACACAAAGAATATGCTCTCGCGACAACTTACAAATATTTTCGAAAGAGTCGAATGAACGAGAAAGAGGAAGAAAGTGTGTATGTGCGCGCACATTCGATACAAGCATCGGCAAAAGAATTACCAAGAACATTGCAAATCACAACTGATCGAAACGTACAATCGGCATTTGCGATGCTTAAAATGATTGGCGAGAGCAAACGAGATGCAGCACAAACAGAGATAGAAGGCTCGCGCGAAACCGATTTAAACGAGTATATATCGTGACGAAGAGTAGCCCCGACCAAACTGTGCACACCAATCAAATTGTAATGTTAAAAAAACGGTCTTTTGAAAACGGCAGTTTTCGATAGAAATGCGGTCATTTTTACTGCGAAAGCAGGCGATTTGCATCACTAGCAATGGACACAAAAACGCCAAATATCATTAATTAATTGTTTTCATTACATGAAAATCACATTCACACTCCGATTGAATGAGATTGAATGAGTGTGAGTGCTCGAAACGGAAATGGTTTTCAATTGAATCGCACTCATACATATTCTCACTCACTCAGAACGCTCGTGTGATCTTTATGGTGAATATTGTTAATTCATTTCGATTTGCTTAATATCGTCTTCTTTTAATTCATTTGATGGAGCATTATCTTGAGAGACCGTTTTGTACACATATACCAGAGAACGGACGTGCGCGAGCATACACACACACAACGCGCAGCTCAGAGAGCGAGAAAAACAAAAGTATTTCACATTGTTTTCCGTTTGATATTCATTTAAATAACCTGTTTTTATATATTTCACTGCAACGAGTTTTGCATGCTCAATCTTTTTGTTTTAAATAACACAAGAAAGCGTTGCATTCTTTTCAGCTATACGGTGTGCATTTTTCGTTATCTGTGCGCATTTTTTCGTTGTTTCTGTTCTTGTCCGTGTTAGATACTGTCTATTTTATGTATGTGTATGTGTGTGTGCGACGATTTTCAACAGAAGCTGTTAAAGAGCTACACTTTACCGCAAAAACCTAAGTAGTTTCTACCGTGGAAAAGAACAATGCATTCATGTAATTTTTGTGCTAGACATAAAATCGATAAACATTTTGCAACAGAAGCAGCGGCAGCTAATTTTCATCAAAAAATCACGGACATTGTTTTATCGTTGGTTTTTCGATTCATCTTTTCACCGTTTTACCAAGGATATGATTTAACTATTGTTGCAATGATTGAA